GAGTTTTATTATTTAAAACACAGTACAGTCTTTTCGTTGAATACATTTACATTGATAACAGCACATTGTGTTGTAACGCGCCACGCGACTCAATACAACATGAAAATATCACAAAATTGGATTTGTTCTAAGCTACTACAAGATTTCCTTGAACCTCAGCTTCAGCCTCCTCCTCGTCCTCCTCCTGGACGGCTTCCTGGATGGTCATTGTGCAGCTGGGTCGCCGGCGCAGGATGGACACTGGCATGGTCGGCATGGTCGGCAGGGCCGGGGCGGTTGGCGGTGGCGGCCCCTGTGGTTGAGCTGGCGGGGGAGTGCGATTGAGCAGGTAGTCGAGGTCCTGCGATATCCGGTTGAGCATGTCCGCGTCCTGGACCGGTGCCTGCTCCTGGTCGGTCCTCGTGACCGTGATGACGGGAACGGTGGTGACGGGCGGCATTGCGATCGGTCCCGGGTCGCCGATGACAAAACTCGTGGTGGTGTAGGTGGCGCCGTCCGGGCTGGGCCCCGGGGCGACAGTGGAGCCCACGGCGGCGCACGGGAGCGGGCCTATGGCGCCTATGGCACCTACGGCACCAATGGCCCCGCCCGCGCCAGACAACATCGCGCCCGACTCTAGGTTGCAGCGCATCACGGCGGGCATCCCCCCGGCGAACACCTCGTCGCCTAGGGGCAGTGCAACCGTCGTTAGAGTAGGCAGCCCAGCTAACACGAAAAAAAATCACAATGAAGTCATGTTGACACAAATATCACTAAAACACCGGGGCAAACACCGGATAAAATTTGGCCAAGAAAAAGTGCCGTTTTGACGTCAGGTTGACGCCATTGACTTTCTCGTGTCGATTGCCTCAGTCTATCGCCTCACCGATGAGCTCGACGCAGACGCGGGTGGCGACACCCTCCGGCATGCAGTACGCGCCCTCGTACGGCCCCCACACCGCGGTGTGCACCGCCCCGACGCTCTCCGCCTGCTGCAGCGAGTGAGGGGCGCCGCCCTTGCGGATCAGGTCTAGAGGGGCGCCACCCTCGCTCTCCGCGTTGGCATCCTGCTTGGTGAAGACTGCGAACACAAGAGGCGGCCGGGCGTTACGCCGTTAGTATGTAAGTTTAGGCCGGAGTAGGCGTCGATCCACGTCGTCAATAGAGACGGCATGAATCTTTGCAGGAAAAAGCGGACATGCGATTATTCTTGCCCTTGCGGGTGTTCGGTGTCATATTCCAGGTCTAGGTCGCAAGGTACTCACACGTGAGCGAGCCATCGTTGTCCTCCTTTGTGGCCTCCTTGGCCTTGCCGCGGTGAGGCGGCGAGCGCACCGGGCCGCAGGGCGCCTCGGGCCGCACGGCGTAGCAGAAGACGATGAGGACGCCGAGCACGGCCGCGGAGGACCCAAAGGCGATGGGGCCCGCCCCCGGGCCCGCCGCCCCGCCCTCCTCCGGTAAGTTCACGAATGCGAGGCTCGACGCCTGCATTGCAGCCGACGCCACGAACAGCGTGGACGCGCGGCACACCAACCCCGACCTGGAGGCATGGGCAATATGATGTTCACTTCACAATCTGTCCGTACTGTTGCTTTCCTTCTGCTCAGGGTTCGCCCCCTACCTGCTGTCCAGGCCTGCAGCCTCGCTGGCGGAGAGCTTGGCGGCGCGCAGCGCAGACAAGCGCCGCGTCACGGAGCACGACAGCAGCACGAACAGCACGAAGAGCAGCGCGGCCGAGGCCACGAACATGTAGAAGAAGGGCGAGCCCAGCTCCAGCCACCAGTGGCGCACCGGCCACTCGGCCGACAGATACGCGAGGTGTGAGCAGAGCACGGCCAATACGGGGGCTCCTGTGGACCGACAGCGGCGTTGGTATAACAGCCGAAAACTTAGTCGAAACCAAAACGAAAAAGCAGTTTCCACATTTCGTGGCATTGGCATAAAAAATTACTGACGTTCAAAAGATCGTTTCTAGTTTCATTATTTAAACATGTAAGCTAATTGTAATGTGTCTTTATTTTTGAATTGAATGTTGTCCATGTAAAATGTTCCCTAGCCGGTAAAACAGCAGTTAAGAACAGGGTACATACCAGTGGTGACGCTGATGACAGCGTAGTTGAGATTGCCGACACGCATGAGCTCGGTGTAGATGAGCATCAGCTTGCTGATGTGCGAGGACAGGCCTATCAGCAGCAGCGCCTCCAGGGTCGTCGCCAGCGCCGCGAAACACGACTGTGAACAGATGCGACATGTGTGACCGCGCAGAGACGCCTCTGTCGTGACACCCCCCTCCCTCCCCCGCCCGCACGCCTGTCTCTGGGAGTAAATTTTCCATTTCCCCTCAGTGTCACTTCCTCTTACCCCCACCGCGCCCCACCGTCCGCCGTCACCCCTTCTCATATACCACATCATACCCCCCCCCTCTCTCTCTTTTCGACCCCACTCCCTGCTAAACTTCATTCATTTTTTTTCCTCCCCCCTCCCTCCCCTCCGCCCTAAAAACACAGTCATACGTCAGGCCGCGACGCAACGCGACACACTCAAGCAAAGAGAAGAGGGCACTGTCAGGCTCAGGCCGCAAGAGGCTAATCATCAGAGTGCCTCTAAAGGGGGGTCCTCTCTCTCTCCCTAATCAAGACGCCTCCCCCTCCGGCCCCCGGCGACCTCTGAGGCCTTATAACCGCCCCG